CTACGATTGGTCCAGGCGAAAGGTGGGATTTGAGGATTTGGGGCAGTCCCTGGCATCTGGCTTGCGCTCAGCCAGTTGCTTCTATTTAATGCCATTCGTCCGACCCATACCTGCATTGAGTAAGAAGACCGTTTAACTGATAACTAACATGTCCGGAGACGGTGACGGTGGCCGCGGGAAGTTGTGTGGTACGACAGTCAGCGGTTGAGGCGAGCTTTTGTGCCTGTGGCAGCCCGTTCTACTGGTCGTCAGTCTGGTTATTCTCTCATGACGCCCCCCTTCTGGCAGCCTAACTAACACCTCCTGCCAATTGGATGCTGATTGCAACGCACGTGACATGGCCACGTCGTGGAGACAGCTTGACGCCAATCGGCAGTGTGTCATTCGCTGATCTGGATTGTATGCGGACAAAGGTCATGTGCGCAGGCACGCACGCACGCACGCACCGCCCTCGACGCACCTCCAAAGGTTGGGTCTCGGCTTGCTGAAACAATTGTCGCCACTGTCTTCTCAGTCGCATCTGCAGTCCCCTGTCACAGTAAGGGCTGCTCAACCAATTCTCTGTGCCAGTCTTCTGTTTCCACAGCAATCAGCACCTCCTTCATTTCCATGTGCGTACTTCTGCGTACAACCATTCCATTGTGCGGTTAACTGACAAAGGGCACTATAAAAATGCATGCTCCATCTCCTAGCAATTATTATTATTATCATTATTATTGGTGTTATTAATACAGACCCAACTGTGAAAACTCGGCGCCTCGGTGGGATTCGAACCCACGCAATAAGGGGAAGGCTTTAGTACAGCCAACGCTCTAACCACTTGAGCTACGAGGCCCCGCCGGACGACGCGGGTTTAATCACTGCAACGTCTGGAATCCACCAAATCTGATACAGTAAGTTGACTGCCCAAGCAGGATTTCCTAAGTAATTCACCTAGAATCCACCAGATGACTACCAGACTCACGTAATTCATAGATATTTTGGCAGATTTTGAATAATCCATATTGACCCAACTGTGAAAAGCTCGGCACCTCGGTGGGATTCGAACCACGTGTCGTCCGGTGGGGCCTCGTACCTCAAGTGGTTAGAGCGTTGGCTGAACTAAAGCCTTCCCCTTACAGCGTGGGTTCGAATCCCACCGAGGCGCCGAGATTTTCACAGTTGGGTCAGTATGAATGATTCAAAATCTGCCTAGCTATCTATGAATTAGTATTATTATCATTATCACAATTACTTTTATTAGCATTTAATTGTGTCCCGCCAGAAGTACGAAATATCTTGCGCCAACACTCTAACTACTTGAACTACGAGGCCCCGCCGGACGACGCGTGGGTTCGAATCCCAACGAGGCGTCGAAATTTTCACAGTTGGCTCAATATGAATCGTTCAAATTCTGCCAAACCAACTGTGCCCTCTCCCACCTTCGGTCTTCTTGATTTTGTCATGAAAATGGGCCCGATCAGGTGTGGTTATGTAGCCCCACCTGTATTAAACAAACTCCAGCCATTTGTAATACGAGACCGGTGGTAATAGGGGTTTTTACAGGTGTGGCCACCGAATCCGCTGTCGAAGAGGTCAAGTAATTTATGCAAAAGAGAAGCTATTGGAAATTGAAATACTTTGAAATGTTGAGATTTTGCTGCCCTAACCCGTAACCTTACAGCGAAGAGTATTGTGTGCATCAGGTGGGGCTGCATAGCCACAACTTACCAGGGGCCCAGGCGGTTGTGGATGAGTTGAGGGAGTGGGGTAGATGCATTGTAAGTCTACCACTACTATAAACTAAATCACGCGCACGTCACCGCCTCTGCGACACTCTGCTGTCGTATGAAAGGTCATTACCCTTCACTAGTTAGGTCTCCTACCGTATCGACTGACTAACATTCGAGCTACCTTCGACACATAACTACCACATTACAGGTCATTAAGTGGACCATTAATTGCGCCAACTTGTGAAATTTCGGAACTTGATTGGAGACTATACATCCAGCTCGCTGATAATTAATAGTCTCAGGGTCCTTCTTGTTCACGTGTGATCCTAGTTGATCATCATCACCGTCTTCGAGACACGATGCGATGGCCGTGTGAGTATGTCAGATAACGTTCCTGACCTATCTGATGATGAATAGCAAAGAACTGCATATTCCAGTCCTTGTAAGCACGAACCACCCAGTCTGCATCCACGAAGGTTACACTGGTTCGAAGAAACGACCCACCTTCAAAAGAAGGCAGAGTTTGGCTTCCGCCGTCATCGTAGAACCACCGACATGATCTTCGTCGCCCCTCAACTGCAGGAAAAGTGTCAGGATATGCCGACCCACTTCTACTCTACCCTCGGGGATCTGACCAAAGATTTCGACATGGTGAACCGTGACGGACGTTGGAAAATTAAGCAGAAACTCGTCTGTCCGGAGCGATTCTCTCAGATGGTGTATCACCTCCAAGATGGCATGATGGCGCCAGTCACGGACAATGGACATGTGTCACAGGAATTCACTGTGACCAACAGTGTGAATCAGGGCTGCGTTCTCGCACCTACTCTCTTCAGTCTCATGTTCTCTGCCATGCTGATGGACGCCTACAGTGACGAACGCACTGGGATCCGTATCGCCTACAGGACGAACGGCCACCTACTCAGTCCTAGGCTGATGTACTTTCAATCGCGTATTTCTCTTCGCCGACGACTGCGCTCTCAACGCCACCTCGGAAGTTGTCATGCAGATCAGCATGGACAGGGAGGGGGTTTATTATAGGTCTGACGTTACTTCGTCTACCCCACCTTCAGAGACTGGGAAGCGATTTGCACAGCTCTCCTTTTATGGGGCACTTTGTTTGATGCGTGGTCTGGCAATGCCGCCTGTGTGACTGCAGTTGACCCGCATGTCACCGTGACCTAAATCGTCCCCGCCCTCGTCGGCCGCGAAGATGGTTTCCGCGCGAGGCTTCTCACTAGCCTCGCGAGAGTTCGAAGCCAATCAACACTGCCTATTCCCTGATTGGCTGGTGGATGCTAACTGGGACAGAGCGAAAGGGGCACACACGCCCTGTGAGGGCGGCGCGGGGGTAACAACCTCAACGGCGGACACCGACACAATCAACTTGCCCGGACTGACAGCTCACGGCGACTGCTTGCAGGGCCTTCAGTACGCACCTCCTCAGCAGTAAAGATTGTCCAACCCAATTCGTCTTCCCTGACTTCTGATTAGGGAACATTTGTCCTGTCGACCATACCATTGTGAACTTTCGAGTCAGCCTCCAATCGCACCAGTGGTGACCTCCGACGTCCACCCTTCTAGCATTTACCTTCTGACCTTCTCTGTGTTCTATATCCTATCTCTGATTGTGCCCCTAACGATGGGATACACAGATGCAGCTATTTCTCTCCATAGAGTCACTGTGTCCCTTCTAGAATTTTGACAGCAAGCTTCAGAACTCTAATTTTTTCTGTATCAGGGCCACCTTTTACTGTGCGAAGACAACTCAGTCTAACTGAGGCTCTTCCCCCAACCCACCATGCTCTCCGAAGTTTAAACTTTCTTATGCGACCCTCCCACTGATGCTCTTTACACCGAGCTTCTTCGACTCACTCCACTTTCTGATCGTCAACGCTACCATGCTCTTGTAAAAGAAGAAGAAGAAGACGAAGTAGAAGAAGAAGAAGAAGAAAAAGGTTTGGGCGACCGCAAGCCCTTTTGAACTTCTCCGCCTCAAAGCCCATAAAGACTTGCCTAATGAGCTGCAATATAGACATGGCCGACTTGACCGCCTTCGCGCAGTTCAGTATTGGCTAGAATGAGGATGTAATCCACACACCCACGTATTCCTGACTGTCAAGCTGCTGCAATGGTGTACCGTTTAGAAAGTAGTTCCTGGGCTTGGAGTCTCTGCAGATGCCGTCTTAAACAAAGTTGTACTTACTTACGTTGGAGGGCATAGGCCAGCGCACACAATAAGTTCGTTCTGTCTAATGTCAGAAGTGAAGAGGTAGTGAGAACTGGCTTATTCTGTACACAGGGCGTATTGCCGCGAGTTGGCTGTTTGCTTGTGGTCAGAGGAAAGCGTCCGCTCGGGTGAGCGGAAGTCGTGATGTGAGGTTTATTGCGCTGGCGTCAGCACAGCATGAGGGAATGTGTAGGTGAGTGCAGGACATGTGATTGGACGGAGTCGGGGGTGCATGCTCAGAAGGGCGCGCAGGGGTAAAAAGCGGGGAGGTTGGAAACGAGTGTGGCGGTGAGAGACTGCGTGCGCACACGGGATCCGTTGAAGGCGAGCAAGAGGCGGCCCAGAACAGGCCAGAGGGATGGCCGTGCGTCAGCGGAGTGCCTGTTGTCGCGGTCATCGGCTGACAGCGAGGCGCCGCAAAGGAGGGGAGGGGGAAGGGGGCGTTGAAGCGGATGCCACAGGAGTATGACAAAACACGGAGTCCTCTGACGGTCGGGCATGTGTACTTTGATATTACATCCAAATTTAAACAATGCTACAGGTCGAGGTCTCCTGTCATTCGGAAAAAAATTTCACATATATCCGCATTTGTACTGTACCAGATAGTGGATAGATATTTGTGCTGGCATTTTGCAATCTCCTATCGGAATCATTGAAGAAAGTGCATGTTTAAGCCCAATCGAATTGGTGGAAGCCGAGGACTGCTCGTCTGTGGCCGACTACTGCGGCATTTCGTCAGCAGTTTCAGCAACTACGCATCTCCTCCCTCCTTCCCAATTGGCCTCAGGGATCACCACATAGATCACAGGTTTGGCGCCTACGAGGAGGTCCTTTCCACCGGGATCCGCTATCTGCTCCAGGCGCCTAGGAGCCAACAATATTCTCATATTTCCCGCTTCCCCCGCCCCTTGTCTCTGTCATCACTGATTACGACGTCTTAACATAAAGGCTTTTCTTCCATGGGGTTTGGTGTTGTGTGTTTTTACGAACTGGACGTGCCGCCACACCCGAAATGTTGGCATGTGTTATGGGTGAGCATCTTAAATGAGGCCTGTCAGACTCCGATCTAGTTTCCGGTGTTTATGCAGCGCATCCATTGCGTGGTTTGTTTCAGGGGCAAATGTCGCGGAGATAACGCTGCACGACGGTGCCGTGTGAGCGATAGCGCATCATCCCCCCAGGCCATGAGCACATGTGCGCAAACTATGCACGGCAGAAATGCCAGCGAGCGGCCCGCCCCTCCCCCAGTCCACTGGCTGACAAGGTATGTCTGTCCACCCTCCCTCCTTTAGGTTTACTGCGATAGGCTTTGATCCACCGGGCTGCGGTTTCGGCACTTCCCCCGCCTGCGACTGCAGTGATCCGGAGGTCCTGCAGCAAGATGCCCGAGTTGGCGTGAATTTGATGCATCAACTGGGTCATCTGCCCTTCTTCTGCGTCGGTTGATGAGAGGGCGACCAGTCAGCCATCCGGGCAGCATCGGAGTTATGGGTGCTGACATCAACCTCCTGTCAACCGACCTCTCGTCTTACGTCTCGATTTAATGATCTGTACCCCCATAAGGTCGATAAGTACTAAAACAAAAGCGCGATAATTGCACCGAGACAGTGCACCAATTTTTATTTAATATTTGAATGTGTTGTCACATTTGGTTTTATTGCTCCTTATTTTTCCCACACCGTAAACAGGTCCGTCAAGTTATCTCAGCTACTGTACCCAGTCTCCTCATTGCCAGACCGCCTGACTCGAGCAAGCCACCGAGGGTGATGTCTGTCAAAGTCGGCTCCGTCTCCTTATGTTTTCACTTTACACGGAAAAAATGAGCTCTGCATTGATTAGTAGGACTGGCAAACAGTTGTTTCTTGACGTTGTGCAGACTGGCGGTGTAACACGTCCCTTCTCAGGACCTAGGGTCAGACTGCGTGCCTCATTGTTGATGTGGACCTCGGATTACGCTCGACTGTGTGATATCTCACTCACCCCCCCCCCCTCCTCCCCAGTGGAGTCTGGAAGGTGGTGTGCAGTTAGGGAATTGGTAGTGTGTGGCGGGCGTATATGATCTGTACGGATGTGCTCAGGCTGATCAGTGAACAGATGAGGTTGATAAGAAGAATGACCACATAATTCGCTGCTATCAACACGCTTACTGATGCCATGCCTTCATTTCGGCCGCCGCTATTGTGATACAATGAGCTAGTCTGTGAACTTGGACCTCTAGGAGGAATCATATGATCGCCGCGACTTGATCTTGATGTGGACTGACAAAATCTATTTGAAATGACACCGAAGACGAATCTTCAACGCCATGATTGTCAACATGACAGGGAAATGCGCCACAACAATCAGCGCCATATGACCTGACTGACTTGATCTCTCAACACATCCGCTCTTACCCCATGTATATATATAGTTCTTCGTCTTATGTGAAATTCCCTCCCGCTGCAGTTGATGGGGTTGGCCTCCTGCTAGTTGTGGACTATCCTCTATCCCTGTCCTAGTCCCTGCAGGATTTCCATTGGTCGTGTGTGTGTGTGTGTGACACCGAGATCGGGTCGGTTGATAATTCGCTGCTATCAACACGCTTACTGATGCCATGCCTTCATTTCGGCCGCCGCTATTGTGATACAATGAGCTAGTCTGTGAACTGGGTCCTCTAGGTGGAATCATGTGATCGCCACGAGACACGACCTGCATCGGCTGCGCGCAGACTGGACGCAGCACTGGTGACTTTCATGGGAATCCGTTTATTGTGAGGCAGCTCTCCGCAACATCTACCCCACTCCCTCCCTCCCTCTCTCCCACCCACGACCACCAGACTCCGATGGAAAGACAATGTCCAGATGACTGGAGGTGGGATCGGGCGCAGTGGTGGACAAAGCTGCAAACTGTCCATCTATGCATTCCCTCACGCGACCTGGTCAAGCATCGAGCGGTAATGGTGTTGGCGGTGGATTTGAGATAGGAGGAGGAGGAAGCGGATGAGGGGGGCTGACAGTATTCATCCGTAGCATTTGAGTGTTGCCGGCCACCCTCCTTGTTTTCCTACATTGCTAATCCAGTCTTTACGCTAATGCGTCACTCCTGTTCACCTTCAGCGGCATCCTTCGATGTCTCTGGGTTGATTTTTAGGTAAAGCACCCTAACGAACGAACTTGCGTGCGGACAGTCTCAGATGAGACCGCGCCTTTGTTGGTGGGGCGGATAGCGCCCTGACCACTACCGAATTTCTGCACAGAAGATCCGGCCTCTACTGCTGTCTTCCCCAATCTCACGTCATGCACTTGGTCATCTCACAACCCACATAGTTTGATAGGCAGCAACTTACGGAATAGATCAGCCTTCACCGTATACATGTGCGTGAAGAATTCAGTAATGGCGATGTGAGCGTAAAATCGCAGTGCAGACAACGTCAACTTTGATGACGTGGATGCGGATATCATCGGTGAGGTATGGGGAAAATTTGTGTGGACACACATGGAATATGCGGTACAGGCTTGGCGTCCGTTACTTCGGGAGGGCATAGCTCATCTTGAAGGTGGTGTGCAAGGACGTGCTAGATAGCTTGTCCATGAACTCAAATATTTGACGTACGAATAGCGCCTGACAGCCTTAAACGTTTATCGTCTCCACTATCGACAAGACGTCCGTGAGCTTTTACTCACGTTCCAGTTGTTACGGCTACTTGATCTTGATGTGGACTGACAAAATCTATTCGAAATGGCACCAAAGACGAATCTTCGACGTCATGATTGCCAACACGACAGGGAAATACGCCGCAACAATCAACGCCATATGTCCTGAAAGACTTGATTTCACGACGCATCCACTGTTATACCCATGTATATATAGTTCTTCGTTTTATGTGACATTCACTCCCCACAGTTTATGGGGTTTAGCTTCCAACTAATTGTGGATTATCATCTGCCACTCCTCTAGTTTCTGCCGAATTTCAACTGGTCGTGTGTGTGTGTGCGTGTGTGTGTGACACTGAGATCGGGTTGGAGAAGTGAGCGCGATGCTTGTCATGCTCAGCCCCAACTCTCTGTTTCCCACTTTAAACGGAATTCAAACTGGTCCTGTGTGGCTCACGTGGATGAGCTGTGCATATTTCTGGGCCAGTGCGTCAACGCTCACTTCCGACCTCCCGCCTGCCCATCACACCTCGCCCCTTTCGGGTAACCCGTGACCCGAGACCCGTCACAGCTACCACCAATGCCTCCTTCATTCCCATGTGCCTACCTCTTCCTAAAAATATTTCATTATTCCACTATTATCCAATATCCTAATTCATCACATAGCTATGACCACGTCCAATTATTATTAGCTGGTATCTCCACCGACGTACACCTAAGTCCATAGTCAGAGTTGCATTTAAATGACAAAGTAGTATTTCATTAGTCAAGAACAAACATGCACGAGGTCTGGGAGCACTGCCCTATGAAACCAGACTGTCAACTATCAACCGGCTTCCCTTATATTAACATTTCGCATTATCAACGGCCTAGACTGTTGTTTAGATCTCACTGATTAGTTTACTCAAGCTAACACGCCCACTTTGCGCGGTCATCCCGTAAAACTACGCGCAGGGAAAGAAAGGATCAATGGACGAACGTTATTTTTCAGTAACAGAGTATTTGCAGCGTGGAATGCCCTGCCTACCGATGTTGTAGTTGCCTCCTGTGTGAATTCCTTGAAGTGCAGACTTGACGCTTATCATGCTTCCCAATCACCAGCCTCACATCCACTCACGTAACCGGACACTAACGTGTGCGTTTGTGCTACTTGCAATTAGGAAGTAACCGTTAATGATTACTATTTCTCGGCTAACTGGCAGCTGTCCGCGGTTATGTACAAAATTCCTTTTTTATCTTTTCACTTATCAATGGTTTTTCCCTTAATAAACAGAAACACCCCAATGACAATCAGAAGAGGTCTGATATATGAAGGTGGGTTGCTGTGCGACTATCTGTGGAGGCTCTAGCTCGCAGCTCTGAGCAAAACGGTCTCGAACGTATTTCGTCCTGCTTTCAAACGATATCCAGGTGACTTTGCAAATCAGCAGGCCGCAGCCAATGAGATAGCTTGGCAGAATGCGACTTCTGGCATCGCCTCTTCCAAATCCACTTCAGCAATCGTTTCAACCAGATGACACATCCCAATATTTGGGAAAAAATAGCACATCTTTCGGTGCATTTATCGCGCATTTTATTTTAGTACTCGTCAGCATTAACAGAAACAGTGTATGAGGAGTACAGACACAGATCATTGAATCGCAATGTCAGGTGACACGAGGTTGGTGTCAGAGGAAAAATAGCCGAATGCGCCACCAGCAGAACTGGCCAATGTAAACGCGGCTGACCGTCGAAATTCAAGTCTGATTCTGTCTGGGTGGCTGACTGGTCGCCCTCTGACCAGCCGACGCAGGAGATGGGCAATTGGCCCAACTGCTGTATCAAATTCACGTCATGTCTGCCATCCTACAGCAGGTCCTCGGGATCACTCCAGTCGCGGTCTGAGGGTGGAATGCTGAGAACGCAGTCCGACGAATGGGAGTCCATCGCGGTAAACCTGCAGGCAGGAAGGGATGGATGATGGGGACGGAGTGAATTACGTTGTCAACAGACGTCAGACACTTTGCCATGCATAGTTTACACCAGTGTGCACACAGCACGAAGGCTTTGTCGTGTAGCCGTCACACAGTACCCTCATGCAGCATTATCATCGCAAGCAAGCATCTAGAAATGAATGATCGTGAGCGATGACTGCCCGAAATCCTCCTTTTGCATAAAGTGCTCTAAGATTACATTCATACTGATGTACGGCACTGATCTGCTTTCCATCATTCCGAAAAACTGCCCTTTGCTGCAATTGTCGCAGGAAGTCCAGATAGTGCATCACTGCTTGTCATTATCGGGACAGGGTTCACTGCGGGCAGTCATTCTGGAGAATACGGCCGACAGATTGACTGTCCGTTTTATCCTTATCTACAGGCGTGTGATGTGTAACTAACTGCAAGCTAGGTAAGATATTCGCAGAAGAAAAGACCCAGATCTAGCATGATACTACTGCGACGTCTCAAACTCTCACTCCGGTCCGCCATCAATGATCAATGAAAACATCGAAGGCTATTGA